GTACATATGTCTTATGGAACTGCCACTGCTTTTGTAACATGTGACATTATCACAGAGAACACGTGCCGGAAAAATTCCAGAAACACACCACAGGCACAGTTTGACCTTGATGAAATAATCGGTCAATAGCAGTAAGTGAATGCAGATTCTAAAAGCATGTTTTGTTTGCTGTCTGTGGCAAAGCATATTCTGTAATTAAGAAGTTTTAAGTTCATTGATTTGCTAATGCCTCTGCTACACCATCTGTGGGTTTTCCAAACAATGATAAAAAGTTTGATATTTTCCGAAGAAGACAGAGTCAAACGTGGTGGTTGTGAATGTCTTGATTTAAATTGCACACATAGAGCATTCTGGAGACTTAACATTATTAACTGTAGCCTTTGTGGAAAGTATTTTGCAAAGGAATAGAGAAATATTTGATTTATTTAACTATTTTGTCTCTTTAAAAAAATCAATGACCTTTTTCACTGGGGTCATTTTCCTTGGCACACAGAGTGACCATAGAACTTCTCAGGGCTGGTGCCAAGCAAAACTGTGAAGTAAATCAGGGAAAGCCAGTCTTTGTCTTCCCCAACCTCTGTTCTATGCTATATACATACCAACCACTTGCACCCCTTCTCCTGGAGCCAGGTGCCCCTTGGCTTATCCTTATCTTTTTTCTTATCCTGTCAACCTACTCTTAGGAAATGGTATGTGTTTTCTTTTAAACTGAAGCATAAGTGATTGTTGGGAATTTAAAAGATTGTACCACTTATGGATTCTTACATCTAGCAAAAGATCAAAGTCTTAAGCTAGAGGAATTGAAACTCTTAACAGTAGATTTTAAGCATAAGATTGAAGTAGGAGCTGAAGAATTTCCCAGACCACCGTAAGGGATTATCATCATTTCCATGCAAAGGTACAACCATGTGCATATAAATGAGGATGATTTTTAAAACGTATTTCTTATTAAAGCACCTTTGTTGTTTCTATCCAGCTTCCTTCTCCTACTTTTCCCCAGTCTGGGCAACCTCCAACCCATAAGCTGGTATTCCTCTTTGACTTCATTATATGTATTCATTGAGATCTTAAGTTGTCAGTGACAAGAATTCCATTCAAATGGGGAAAAAAAAGGTTCATGTAACAAAACCAGCAAATGTCAGGATTGAATTAACATTATGGTTGAATATAATTTAACCATTAGCACATTCTCTCTCTCTCTCTCTCTCTCTCTCTCTCTCTCTCTCACACACACACACACACACACACACACACACACACACACACCTTTCTTCTGTCTAATTTGAACAAAATCAGTCTTAATATCTCCCACTCTTCCTGCATGTTAAGGGACAGTGTTGCAGTTGTCAATTTTAGGAGAAAAGAGCATGCTTCAGTTCTGCTTCACATCAAGTCAGAAGTCTGGCAAGGATGCTGATTGGTCAATTGAGGTCACATGACCGCTTAGTAGTGTAATCATTGTGTCTAATCATATGTGGTCTGGTGACTGTCATCTCTGTGACAGCCTCTTAAGAAATGCAAAAAGTAGGAGAATCCCCTGGCCCTCTTTCCTTATCTATAAAATTAGGGAAGTGGAGATGTCTCTAAAACTTCCCCAGCTTTAACCTGATTCTATTTAAAAACTGCTTCTTCATTTTTGGTATTCTAATCGCTCTTAGTCTCTCTTACATGTCCTCTACCTCCCACATGAGGGTCAAATAACTTTGGGAGATGATAATTATCTCCTTGGTTTGACTCTGAGTTTCTCTAAATGGGGAAGGGGACAGACAGCTCCTGTGATGCCCCTCTCGTGAAACAGCAAACTGTTATAGTTCAACCTTGACCAAATTTAGCCACCATTTATGCCACATAATATAAGATGGTCACAATTTTCAAAATTTGTCAAGCATCCCAAATTTAGCATTTTTCTTGAGTAAAAAAAGCAGCAGATCAGGTGGAAGGTCAACTGGAAATTTTCCTTTATTCCATTATGCTGGGGGCATGAAACGATGCTTATGTAACTGGCTCCAATTCAGATGCAGCCCAGGCTCAAAGGGGTTAATTAGGTGTTATGTTCAGGTTATTCATCTCTTCCCACAGCATTGAACACCCACTCTTCCTGCAAAACCCATATAATGTCTGCTCTGAAATGCCTCCCTGTCTGCCACCAGAGACCACCAGTCTGTCTTCTCTATCACATCCACACTTCTATTGTAACAATTATTGCCTGTGTCCAATGTCTAGCTCTTATTACACTGTTAGTTCACAGAAGGCAAGGGCCATACCTTATTCATCTTTGAATTCCTAGTGCCTCACCCAGTATAGACACATGATGAGTATTCCGGGATGTTTGTTGTATTGACTTTGTAAGTAATGCTTCTCATGCAACTTTGTAATAATTGCTTCAAATCAATATTTTCTGCTTTATGGTAAGCTGGTAACCAGTGGAGTTAGACTGCATGACCCAGCCATGGTCCTAGAAACATTCATGAATCAGAGTCCAAAAGGATGAGAATAAACTGAGGGTTGATGGGGAGTGGGAGGGAAGGGTGGGTGGGTGATGGGCATTGAGGAGGGCACCTGTTGAGATGAACACTGGGTGTTGTATGGAAACCAATTTGACAGTAAATTTCATATTAAAAAAAAAGGACAGTTGCCTTCATGTCTTTAAACCACTGCTGTCACCAGCAACCACCCCTCCCCTTCATAGGGCAGCTGTGGCACACAGGACCTCTGTGGTGCCTACGGGATAAAGCAGATTCATGACTACATGACAGAGATCTGTCATCCTCCAAGTTTTCTTCTGTAGTTTCCTGAAATTTCCTGCCATTTTGTGATAAGACACTACCTCCCAGAAAGTCCTCCTGAAAATGCAAATATGTTACCTAATGGAGGTTCTTCTCATTGTGAACTTGGGTTCCTAAATGTCAGAAGCATATAAGGAAAAGTGAGAGTTGATATCACTTGAAAAATAGATAGATTTGTTTTTATTCCTGTCACCTATGACTCATCTTCTCTTCAGTTCAGCCATTTTCAATTGACTAAAGGAAAATATGCCTGACCTGGGATCCCTGGAACATGGGGGCACTAAAAGCAGTGGGTCAGCAGATGAGTAAAGAGTAAGGACACCTGGCATACCTGAGGTAGGGGACTCATGTCGTTGAGGTCACCTGACTTCTACTGGGAAGCCCCCAGGTTTTCCTGAAGGCCAGTTTAGTTCCAATATCAAGGAGGATATGCTACCTCCCAGTGTCCTCTAGACCCCTGTAGGTCACTGAACGGGTCCTTATGTGGACAGGACAGCTATAAGAGAGACATATATTTGGAGAAAGAAACCTGAGCAGATTGCTTAGAAACCCACACCATCAAAAAGCTCAGCAAGTACAAGGAGCTGTTAAGTGTTTAGAGGACATTTTAGCTGCGTAGTATTTTCTAAGGCGGTGAGATTCTCCCACCACCTAGCACTCAGGCACATTTGGAAGTTCAGGTTTGCCACAATCTTTTCCATGCTGTAAAACTGTTACCTCTATTACAATAAAACTTCATCAAAATGTCATCTTGGTGTAGGACTAGTCAGTGAGCAATTACCAAGTACCTATCATGCATCACTTATTCAACAAAGAACTGATCAGAAGCCATAAGGAATATACTGGGATCACATTCATAGTGATGAAGGCACACACATGGCACCCCAGGGCTGTTCACCACCAAGTGCCTGCTGTATGCACCATACTGGACTGGTTGGTGCCATTGAAGGCTAGATATGTGTAGCCTTGGATAAGTCCTCCATCATTCAGTCTCAGTTTCTTCATCTTTAAAGGAGTGGTAATAACACCTATTCTGCTGGATTGGAAGGAAGATTAAATGAGATGATGAATAAAAAATGTGCCTGGTACAAAATCTAGCATAGAATTGAGTTGCATTTGTGATTTTTTTTTCGTATTTTTAAGTTACCTATTGACCCCAAGGATGGTGGCATGATTGGCAGTGTAGTAGAGTGTTCACACCATAGGGTTCAAATCCCAACTCATCCACCACCAACCAGTCAGAGGATTTTGAACTGGTTACTGAATATTTCAAAGCCTCAGTTTCTTTATATCTAAGTAGAATGATGATCACATCTAACTCATAAATTTGAGTGGATTAAGAGAGAGAACATATATAATGCACCAGCATAGTATCTGGCACATAGTAACTACCTTGTCAATGGTAACAATTGTTTTCATTTGCAGTAGAGGATAAAAAAAGAAGCAGGGAGATTACTGCAAGTGTCTTGGATGCCTCTGTGTTCGCTAGTCTTTCCCTGCTTTATAAATTCTGATGAAGATGAATCCACATTAATGGAGGCAATGTTTAATTGCCTCCTTGTGGGCTGGATAGCACATTACCATATTCTTTTTTTCTTGAGGCTTCCAGTGGGATATGTCTGTTCTATTTAATAGACTTTTTTTTTTTTTTTTTTTTTTTTGTGCCTGGCTCAAGAAGGCACGTGTGCATTTTCAAATCCCTCATTTGTATGAACACTCAGGCCTTAACTACATGGAGAAAGCATTCTGGGAGGGGCGAGTGTGGGTATCGTTTCACGTTCATTTGAACCGGTGCCAACCAAACTTCCACAGTTGATTGTGTCTCAGTGATATTCTTCCAGAAAAAATAACGGTAATGCAGAGTCCTCACTGCTGCTTGGACTTCTTTTGCTTTTCAAGTTTGCATTGTCTGTGGTGTTGGCTTCAGCACAGACATGTAATATATCGAGCAAATGGACCACTCCTCCCGGCCAGGCCTCTCATCCCCAACCCCAAGTTAGTCCATCCGTCTCCTTCCTTGTGGTTCTACAGGTACAAGACAAAGTTGAAGATGTACATCATGGTAGTCTACTCTTTGGAAAAGCACTCTCAAGGTTTGGGCAGAGAGTGCAAGTCAAGGGAGGCAGGGAGGTAGGGAGCCATTATCTCTGGAAGATTTTTTCCAATGGGCAAGGACAGCCCCCAGGAAAATTATGGTCTTTCTTTCATCTACAGGTAATGCAGGTGGTGAAGGAGCAGGTTATGAGAGCTCTCACAACCAAGCCTAGCTCCCTGGATCAGTTCAAGTGCAAACTGCAGAACCTGAGCTACACCGAGATCCTGAAAATCCGCCAGTCTGAGAGGATGAACCAGGAAGATTTCCAGTCTCGCCCGATTTTGTAAGTAACCGCTGTCCTCTGTCTCCTCGCAGGCTCTGACCCAACACTTCTGGTCTGAAGGCCTGTTGTGGGCTGTGTTGTGAGATCCTTACAGAATGCCAACAAAAGACACTCCAGGCAATGTCAGTTGGGTTCCTCAAGTCTCAGCAGCTCTCTGAGGAAGGAAGGCTAGGCAGGGCCGGCTGAGGGGAAGGCGGGCACAGTGTTGGCAGCAGGACCAAAACCAGGAAGTGGCCTGGTGACTGACGAGTCCTCTGAGAATTCACAGTCGAAAGTGGGGGGGGGACCTTTCCTAACACCCGGGACAAAATTTTTTTGCCTGTGTAGCTATTCTCGGTAGGTCCCTTTGATTGACAAGAGCAAGGGCCACTGATAATCCGGGCAATATGAACACTGAAGTCCTGGGTGGAAGAGACAGATTGAGAGGAAGAGAGAGATCCACTTCTCCCTGCCCCCTCAGCTTTGCCTCTTGGCAGAGCATCGTGCATCACCTGCTTGCCCATCAGCCTGCAGGCCTGAGAAGGAGAGGAAGCAGGCCCTCTCGTTATAGGACTTTGCAGCACCAGTTGCTGTTTCACATACCGCTATCTTGGGGATGCTCTGCACCTCCAACACAGAGACTGTTTTGTTTTGGGGATTTTTTTTTTGATTCATCTTTTCTTAGAACTGGCCTATTGATCTTCCCTTGTCTTTTTCTAAGAGCCAGGTCAGTTTTGTTACCCTTATAATTTATACAGAAGCAAACAGGAGAAAAGGCAGGGAGTGGTATGGAAAGTGATATTTATTCTCATTCTTCCTGCAGAAGACTGGACACAGCTTCTTCTGAACTTTTGGTGAAGCAAACCTACAGTATAGGTGTCATTATGACATTAACCCTCTCGGTCTCTGTCTCATCCTTTTTCTTTCTACCCCTCTTTCTGTCTTTTACTCTTAAATATTTGGCCTTTTTAATGCTTGGCAGTTTGCAAAGCAGCCCCTCCCGCTATTTCATTTCCTCACATCCATATGAAGTAGGTAGATCTTACTCCCATTCAAGGAGCAGGTATAGACCAGAGAGGTGAGGAGCCAGGACTTGAACTCCAGCCCACCGATCCCTCAACCAATGCTCTGTCCACCCCATCAGAGCTCCTTTGCAAACTGCAAGACTAAGACGAGGTTTAAGAAAGTTCACAGGTCAGGGTGCCTGGGTGGCTCAGTTGGTTGAGTGTCTGACTTCAGCTCGGGTCATAATCTTGTGGTCTATGAGTTCACGCCCCCTGTGCTGACAGCTCAAAGCCTGGAACCTGCTTCAGATTCTGTGTCCCCTTCTCTCTCTGCCCCTCCCCCACTCACACTCTGTCTCTGCCTCTCAAAAATGAATAAACATTTAAAAATTTTTTAAGAAAAAGAAAGTTCACAGGTCTGAAAAGACAAAAGCCAAGCTGTCTACTATGTGTTTATTTTCAGGCCCTAAGAAGCACGGTTAGAGACTGTGGAGCAGAACTGCAGATGTTAGTGAGGGTGACCTTAGGTGCAAGGGAGAGAAGCACTTCCTGAGGGTCTTTGGCTCGCATCGTGAGACTTGAATCACACCTGCATTGAGCACCAGCCCGCTGTGCAGCAGGCATTGCCAGGGCTTTGCCACTGGTCCTCAGCCAGAGGGTCCAGCTAGTCCTACCAGAAAGAAAGCCCCTCACATAAATGATTGACCCCTCAGAGACACAGTTTCTTATTTGCAGAGGGCTACAATTCTGCCTCACCCCATCCCAGGGCCTACAGTCCTGAAATGTTGGATTTCATAAGGTTTGTTTCAGCGGATGTGTAAACACGAGGAAACTTATTTTTTGACACCAATTATTAAAGCCTAAAGGGAGACTTTAAGAGACTACTTCAGTTGAGGCCGAGGGATTCTAATTAATGTTTGACCATGACTTTATTCTAAGTAGAAATGTTAACCACATGTGAAGTGTGAATCTCTTGCACCTGTTTTTGGCTTCATATCTTTATCTCCTGAGGCTCTGCCCGTGACATTCTGAAGTATTCTCTTGGTTACAAGAAGCTCTTATCTTTACATTTATTACATAAGGGGGCCATACAAATATAAAGGAAATCTTGGGTATGTATGTAGCCTTGGCAGCATCATTTGGCCACAGGACTGAAAAGTACCGCAGCTCACTAGAGCTCTTGGTATAGTTGCAATAAGTCATGAAGACTTGTCAGAAACTATAGCAATTAAAGTGGGGTGGAGCCCATGAACCAGCCTGATCATTATCCTGGCCTCTGAGATGGGCAGTTGGCAGCCAGCCTCCTCCAGCTTCTCGTCCAGTGGTGTTTTGTCTGTTGAGTGACCAACTAGACAAGAACTCAGTGTGAGATTGGAGGAAGCCTAAAAGCTGCCAAAATGGCTCGGAGAACAAACTCAAGTCAACAGAGAGAAAGTCAACACATGTATGATTGTTTGTATTCATTCACTAATTCACATAACAAATATGTATCAAATGACTCCTACCTTCTCAGCTCTGCCCAAGGTGATGGGGACAGGCAGAGAACCAGAGGCACTTGACCTCCCACTGTCCAAGATTGTGAAACTGGGGTTGCAGGGTTAGCACAGACTGGGCTTGGTTGGAAGAAGCACGGGTAGGGGTTGTCATGAGAACATAGAGGAGACACATCTCACTCAAGCTCAGGGATTAGGATATTAGAAATTTAGAACTGAAAAGCACCTTCAAGGTCATCCAGTTTAAGCTTTTCATTTTGAGGACTGGGACAATGACTTACCTGGGGCTTGACTGAACCCCACTGGCCACACCCTCACCAGCCTCTTGACCCCCGTAGTGCGCCCCCCCCTCACCTGGTCACCTCTGTGACTATCGCACACAACACGGTGGCAAACCTAAGTGCCACAAAGATGCTTTGAGGCACACATCCCATTATTATAAAACGTTGATGTTTCCCGAGAAGAAAAATGCACACCCTGTATGAGCAATTATTTGGCTGGGGGAGATATTCAGTGGGGTGAAGAAGCTCTGTTCTATTTCTTAGCTCTTAACTCATTGTTTCAGAGAGGAGATATTTGTTTTTCTCCACTTAGCATGACTTTACAGGGACAATAAGTCCATCCACACAATTAATCCGAGTTAATGGATATAAAAAGCTTGAATAGTCCAAAAATAGGTCATTTAACACTACATTGGGGAGAAGAGAGGCAAGGATAAACACCAATGAAGCATAGTAGCAAAAGGTAGCAGATCCACACCCAGGCAGCTAACAGATCTGGAATCTGACTCCAAGGCCACCACCTACCAATATGGCTCTGTAGACAAGTTACGTAACCCATCCTAAGCCTGCTGTTGTTAATGTCTAAAAAGGAAGATGATTAAAGCGTATACATTGTTGCATCGTTATGTGCATGACCTAGTTCTTTAAAAGCATTTAGCATATGCCTGGCACATAATATCCACTAAGAGAAATGTTCACTCTTACCCATTAGCTGGTAACCAGAATTGAACATGTGGTCACACTGTTGAAATGTAAATGATAAAACTGACACTATGAATGTCTTTGTATGTGCCTCCCCTGCCTTATCTCGGAAGGTACAGGAGAAGTATAGGTAAGAAAGAAAAAGTAAAATCAAACAGAGCCGGAAATAAGGCCAATGCCTATCCTGCATATCTGCCTCCTCACTAAAGACTGGCCACAAGCTTTGCTCAATGCTTTCTCTTAACCAGTGCCGGTAGAATGGTCTGGTCAGTTACACAATTTTCAGTGTTCAGTGCACTTGACAAATACTTATCAAATGCCTGCCACATGCTGTTCTATGTGTTGGTGATTCAGCAGTAAAGAGGACTCAATTCTCACCCTATTGTGATTGTATTGTTGTGGAGAGAAACAGACAATAAACACAGTAAATAAGATAGCATGTTAAAAGAGGATAAAGACCATGGGAATGGAGAGCTGGAAGTTTTAAATAATGTGGTCAGAGTAGATCCCTCTAGTTGGGATGGTAGCATTTTAGTAAAGATGTTTAAGGGAGCAGGCTATGTGTGCATTTAGGAGAAGAATACAGCAGAGAGAACCAACAGTACAAAGGCCCTGAGGTAGGAGTAGGTCTGGGTGCTCAATAAAGAAGGCCAGAGTGGCTAGAAAAGAGTAAGCAAGGGGGAGAACAATAGGAAGTAAGGCCAGAGAAGAGGCTGGAAGTTGATATGGAGGGCCTTGCTGGGGAGCCATTGGAGGGTTTTGAGCAGAAGATTGGCATGCTCTGACGTGGGTTTCTAAATTATCCCTCTTGCTTACTATATTGGGAATGGACTCCAGGGAGGCAAGTTTGGAAACAGAGAGATCAGTAAGGAAGTTACTTAAATAATCCAAGAACAAAATGATATAGATTAGATAGATTTTGAAGATAAGAAAGGTATTTCCTGATTGATTGGATGTGGGGTGTAAGAGAAAGAGAGGTGTTGAGGATGAGCTCAGGGTTTTGTTTGGGCTGAACAACTAAAGGATAGAGTGGAAGATGTTAGCACAGGGGGTCAGGAGTTCAGCTTTGGACCTGTCAAGTTTGAGGTGTCTGTGAGACATCCAAATAGGCAGTTGGGTTGATGAATCTGGAGTTGAACGGAAAGGTCCAGGTTGGAAATACAAATTTGGGAAGTTGTCAGCATAAAGTTGCTATTTAAAGTCCTGAGTCTGTAATATAAAGAGCAGAGGAAGTACAAAGACTGCATTTGGAGGCCCTCCAGTGTCAACACAGACAGATCAATTTCCATGAAACAGACACTGTCATTCAACCCACCCAAAGTCTTCACAGAGCCATGTTAGATCAGGGGTCAGCAAAGCATAGATGGCTCTTGGGCCAAGTCACAGTCACTCTCTGTTTCTGTAAATGCAGTTTCACTGGAACACAGCCACATTCGTGTGTTTACATACTGACGACAGCTTTCACTTTGCTATGGCAGAGCTGAGTAGTTGCCAGACAGTATATGGCCCATGGAGCCTGAAATATTTACTACCTGGCCTTT